CATGTACGAAACCCTCCAGCCGCCGCTCCAGGCGCCACAGCAGCCGCAACAGAGCTCCACCCTGCCCAAGACCTGGCTGCCACCACCAGTGCAACTGCAGCCTTGCCAGCACCATCATGCCCCGATTCACCTGCACCAGCCCATTCCAGGTGAGGATTTAGCCACCCACTTGCCAGCGGGCACAGGTTCAGCCTAAGTCTGCCCAATGCAGCTGATTGTCAGGCGCTTCTGGCCCTTCTGGCTTTCTCGTATATGCATTTTACGAATAATCTGCATGATTATTTTCCTTGAATTGCAGACAACATGGTCGGACTGATCATTCCACAACCGCTGCCCTTGGCTCTGCCACTGCCCAGTCCCGAGGTTCTCATCGTGGAGAAGAAGTTCCGGAATGCGATGAAAACGCAGGCCACTCAGACGGATGCGGCAGCCCGTCGCCAGGGCCAATTTGGCTATAATACCCAGGTTCTGGCCTTGAGTCCCCGGCCACCACATCGCATTAAGGTGGTTTCCCAGGGGGCTCAAACGAATGGCCTGCAGAATGGCAAAAAACTAACGAAAAGCCTCTCCGAAATACCCAATGGCAAGGATGGCACCTCCGGTCATCATTTTCAACAGGGGTTAGTTGCTTTACACCTTGTTTTCGCTACCTATTTCACTTGAATGTAACAATCCTTGGCACCCACAGTGCCATCTACCCCCATGAGATGATCTACCGCACTCAGTCGCAGGATGTGACCCCTTTGCAGACCCTCTCGGATGCCCAAAACAACATCATGTACTACAAGCCACCGCCACCCTTGCTGGATGCCCACAGCTATGGACTGGGAATGGAGCATCTCAGTCGGACACGTCCCTCGCCATCCGAACAAAGTGTGGAGTATGTGAACGTGAATGCTGCCGCAGTGGCGCTGAATGAAAGTTTCGACTACGAGAGCAACAGTTTGCCTCGACGAGCGTGTACCTCGCACACGGATTTCTATTCGAATAGCCTGCCTAGGAGGCATATCACTGAGAGCTCGGAACTAATGACCGACAGTGTTCCCTTGGACTTTAGCCAAGCGCATTTATTGCCACCACCAAGTGAGTACTGCAAGAACGACGACGAGGATGTGGAGGAGTACTACGACGAGGAGGAGGATCATCCCCATGAAACGGAGAGCTACAGCTCAGAGGTGTGCATGGAGCAGGCGGCCCAACATCGCCGGATGTCCATGCTGCCCCAGATGATAGACTCACCATTCCGTCGCGATGATCTGAGGCGCCAGTCCATGCCGGTCTATGGGCAAACGGAAAAGCTCATCGATGGCTTTGGTCCAAGGAGCTCGTTTCGAAGGCGCGACAAGGTCAGCTGTTTTCCGGATGAGCCGCCAGCCGTTCAAGAAGCCCGCGACGAACAGGAGATATTCATAGACTTTAAGCCGCACATTTCGCCCAAGCCGAGTCCCAAGCTGCAACTGAAGCACCGCAAGCAGCACAAGGCGGAAATCGCCATGAGAAAGATGCAACAGCAGCGGATGGCACAGGCGGCAGCACTGACCCTGCCCAAGCCCAAGTCACAGCCAGTCGAAGTTGAGGTGAGAAAAGTTGAGCTTGAGCCCAGCGATGAGGAGGAGGACGAGGACGAAGCTTCCGAGGCCGAAGAGGAGAATGATGGCGAGGAGCTCGATGAGGACGAGCAGAAGCTGGAGGCGGATCTGCAGGAGGATGAGGAGCCGCTGTACGAGAACATAACCCCCTGTGGCTGCCGCGTGGTCCCTCAGTCAGATGCGATGGACATCCAGGACAAGCGCACGCAGTTCCGCAAGCGCTCTGTCAGCTTGGATGACGACTACGAGGCCAAGGCGTCCGAAACTCCCACGCCAACTGGCCTGAGACTACCCTCTACTCCGGCCAGTCCCTGCCGCGATGAGCTGCTGGCCAATGTCTCAACTTATCCCTCCTCAGACTCGCTGGCCAATGACAATACACGCGATCACTCCGATGGCATATGGAACGAGTCGCAGGTTACTGTCCTGACGGCTGAGCAGCGGGACATATCCGATGGCTCCTACAGCTCCAACTTGCTGCTGACGCCCTCGTCGAAGAGAAAGAATCTACTGCTGCAGCATCAGCAGAGAAGCTCGGTGGACACCGATGCCCTGGATTTTGAGGAACAAGTGGGTATATCAAATTATCTCGGTGGCTTTTGTTTCTATAATGCCATCCTTAGAGCCCCACCTATGGCCTACAAACACTGCCGAAGATCATCAAGACGCCCACTCCAACCACATCCAGGCCCACTTCCACGCAACCAATGATGCCACCACCAGCCATCGCTGTCACACCATCTGCAAACCAGATCCTGGACAGCTGCATAAGCTCGCCGCTGCCCAAGAGGAGCATGGTGGCCAGGGGATCGGTTCCGGATGCCCGGCAGCTCATGTTCGCTGGTGGAGCCGCCAAGCAAAGGTTACTATGGTGTTTCTATTGATAAGATCGATATTCAGTATCTGCCCGAAAGTATGCATTGGATTGATACTTAGTTTTAGGCGGACTAGCACAAACTTGGCCAGGATTAAACTTATTTAATATATTTATTACTCCTTGCCAGGCACTCGGATGCCTCGTTCCTGCCCATGGGCGCCACCGATTACGCGAGGAGCGCAGATATATCGGAGTGCAGCACCAATACAGATGAGTATGCCACCTGCACGGACACCTCGAAACGCACACCAGGTATTAAGACACCGCCGACCACCACCAGTTCATCGTCCACCACACAAGTGCCAGGTTTGGGCCCCCCGATCCGATACGTATCCGTACTCGTATCCGTACTCGTGCTGTGTGTTGCTGTCTGTGTGTAGAACTCGTACCAAAGCGCATAATCCAAGTCTTGATCCATGAATGAGTGTTAGACATCAAATCGAATTGTGTTCGTGGCCACCACTCCGCCGACACTGCTCCAAAACCACTGCCACTTCCACCGCCTCCCTGCTTATCGCCCTAGTGTTATACAGCCCATAGCCAATAGACCGTAGACTCATCCAGCTCATCTCAACTTTGTCTGCCTCTATCTCTATCGCCTCCCTAGTTAAATGTTGTTGATGCCTGATCAAATGCCTTGCCCGCAATGCTTTAGCTGTACCTGATACCCTTTCTGATGAAACCCTATTAACTGAGGGGTAAACCGCTTGTTTATTTGACAGTGTCCACTCAGAGCTCGCAGTTGGAGAAAACGCACGCCGGCAGTTCCTTCGAGAGCGCCAGTTCACTGTACTCCATGAGGGAGGATCTGCTCCAGCACGACGAGAAGGAGCGGGATAGGCAGTCCACTCTTACCAAGGCGCAACTGAAATCGCCCATCGGTTCAGTGGCCGAGCTGACCAGGAAGTCGCCATCGCACTCCATCAGCAGTACCACCTCCTCCGGCAGCTGTCCAGTCTCGGGAGCAGCCATCAAATCGCCAGCCAAGGAAAGTCTGCCCCAAACGGTGGCCAGTTCGGGAACGTGCCAGATGAAAGTCAGCTCCGTCGAGTGCATACCGCCTGGAGCCAAGCCCAAGCCGGATTCCATATCGGAGGATGAGCGCAGCGAAGTGCGCTACTCCTCCTCCGGCTACTACGAGAGCCCCCATGAGGAGGATGACGAAGAGCAGGGCACCAGGAGCAAGGCGCGCCGCCTGCGCCAGGAGGACGAAAGGAAGAGGCGCAAGACTAGCATGAAGCTGGACATCGAGAAGGAGAACATGCGTGCACTGACCAGTCCCATTAAAAAGCCCACGGGATCCAGCAAGATCACATCGCCAGAGCAATCGATGTCCACCACCTTGGACAATGGCAGCAGTCCCAGCAAAATGAAACGCTTCCGTCCCAAGATACGCAGGCAGCTGAGGAAAAGTTCGCGGGAAGATGTCCTGGCGGCGGCAGCGGTGCGCAGGAGCCGTGCCACGCCCACTATTTTCGGCCTGAGCAGCGGAAGCGGCGACACCGAGTTGCTGCTAGACGCCAGCATGTCCACTGGCGCCCTGGCCAGTACCACCACTACTGCCGTGACATCCGTATCCGCGCCTTCATCCGCATCTAAGCTGGCCACATCGGAGTCCTCAGTTGCCACACAGCCCGAGGCAGCAGTGGCACCATTGCCGGCGAAGAAGCCACACAGTTGCGCCACGCCCACATCCCTGCTGTCGCCAAAGATGCCCACAACTAGCGGCACCCAATCGAAGTCCACGTCGGAGACCTTCCAGCTGAAGGCCAAGTCCATTGAGTCCCTGCGCTCGGTGTCGCCTGGCTCCGATTCCGTGTTCTACAGCGAAGCCGATGGAAATGCAGCCAGTGGCGAGCAGGGGCACTGCCACCATTGCGGCAAGGAAATGGAAGGCAAGCAGCAGAGCAACACCATCAGCGAGCTGGCTGGCGACTCGGTCGAGTCAATACCCTACATCGAGCAGGACATCGTCAAGCCACCCTCGGACTTCGCCGACTCCCCGGTGACCACCAAGACCACCCAGCGGCTGTACAAGAAGATGGACAAGCGCTTCCGGTCCGAGGAGCGGTACCACGGCGAGAGGGGCAGGCACTACAAAACCAGGCAGGAGAACATTAGGGCAAAGGTGGGGCTCAGCTTCAGGCACCTTGATCCCTTAGCCAAGCAGGAATTTAACATTTTATTGAACACTTTTCCGCAGAGCGAGGAGCGCGGACGCATTCCCAGTCTGCCCAATACACCCGTGCTGCGTCCTGCCGGCTCCAGTCCTTGTGTCCTGCCCGACATGGAACAGAGTCAGCATGTCATCTACAAGGGCCACTACGACGCAGGTCGCTACACACGACTGACCGACGATGACTTGTGGACTCAGCTGGACCATCAGTGTTTTGGTGAGTAAAACTATTGGTGAGATTAAATATTATACTCGTGCCTTGGGAGGTAATTATAATTTGGCACAACTAATAGAACTCGACACAGTTGACTGGGAAAAAGTGCCTGCTAACTTAAGTATACTTCATTTCCAAAAGAAGATGTATCTTTTTATGCTCTCACTCGCATGGTGGCTTGTGCATATCCTGGCCCTTAAGGATCGTAAGCATCAGGTGGCTAGGCCGTGTTCTTAGCTATAATTCTTGTTTTTTAGCCGTTTGCGGCCTGATGCCAAGGGTCAATAAATGTGTAGTGCTGGGAAAAGAACCTCCAGTGTTTTACGGTTACAATGAAAGACGCAATGAGTGTTACAGAATCAAAGATCCCTGTCAACAATTTTTCAGAAGATTCGCAACGAAATTGATCTGCGTGCAGTTATGCAAGAAGTAATTTTGAAAAATAGGGACATTTATGTAAACGGTTTTGTAATAAAACTCAAAACTAAAGGCAAGAACACGATCGTTATAAGTCTCAGTATTAACCAGGACACCTATTTTTCCCACAGATCGTTCCCGGGAGCGCAGAGCTTCAACGGAGTCGGAGAAGGGCTTCCATGCCAAGTACCAAGTGATCCTGCACCGCCTCGTCCAGCGACGTTGCACCCTGGAGATGTACCACCGCCAGAAGCACAACAGCTTTCGTAAGTGGCATGCCCATTTGGGGCACCCTGTTCGACGGAACAAACAATATTCTAATTTTGGCGCAACGTGCGCGCCTTTTGAGCAATAGAGAGTTAGAGAGAGAGAGATTGGGGAAAAGCGCCAAGTGGGAGCACTTTGAGATAATGAATGGCATGGCGCTCCGAATTTTCATGACCGGCACTTGGCATACATAGCAAATATCAGACAGACCGAATAAAAAAGCCACCCATAGTTTTTTTGGCTCTATTATCGAGAATAGTTGAGGTGCGTGCTTTGTTGTGTGCCGACCATAAAAAAGCGGCAACGCTTCCCGTTCGGTGCTGCGGTTTGGGCCAAATGTAAAGAATAAGTGCGAAAGGTTTTCGGAATATTTTTGTAGTATTTACACAATACTCAGGCCAAATGATTGGTGAGTAAACAGTGAAAATCAAACGTTGTCGTCGCGCGTTTTTTGCCTTTGTTTTTTGGTTTTCATATTATTGTTTTCCATTTTTTTTTGCATATTACCAAACAGAACTAATAGCGTCCAATTCCACGCCGGATTCGATTAGACGGAAGTTGGAGGAGGTGTTGAAACTGATGCTCTTGGTCTGGGCACGCGAAAGTTTTGTGATTTCCAAACTGAGCAGCGGTGCACATGGTAAATGATGTCCGGACCCAATCCGGAAATAAAATAACACAAATCACTTTAATCTCTCTCTCTCTTCCTCTAAAAATAATCTGCCGTGCACTAGAAGAAAACTGATCAGATCATTTTTATACGTAAAGCGTTTTGCCAGACACTGAATGATAGGAATACCACTAATTATAATTATGAACGTATTCTGATAGTACTTAACTTTATTTTTCCAGGCGTGGACAAAACCGTGGTGGTCAAGAGCGATTCCGGCGAGTTCGGCTTCCGTATTCACGGCTCCAAGCCCGTGGTGGTGGCCGCCATCGAGCCGGAGACTCCGGCGGAGAGCTCTGGCTTGGAGGTGGGCGACATCATCATCTCGGTGAACGGAGTCCAGGTGCTGGACAAGCACCACACCGAGGTGGTCAAGATCGCACACGACGGCTGCGAGAAACTGGAGCTTCAGGTGGCCCGGACCATTGGCGTTCTCATGCACGAGCAACTGGAGCCGCCAAGTCAGCCCATATTTAGTGGATACCTGTGGCGGCAGAGTGGTCAGGCCAAGGGCGCTCCGAATTCCAAGAAATGGGTGCGCCGTTGGTTCTCCCTGAGACCCGACAATTGTCTGTACTACTACAAAACGGAGGATGTGAGTATAGGAAACACGACTTGAAACTTTATGCAATATATGTGCTTTCTGCAGGACTCCCAGCCCGTTGGCGCCATGATCATGGCCAAGCACACAGTGGACCTCTGTCCAGTGGATGTGGGCAAGCCGTTCGCCTTCAAAGTGGACGCCGGCGAGGGTATTCCCATGTACGTGGCTGCCGACTCCGACGAGCTGGCGAACAGGTGGCTCCAGCTGCTCAGACAGGCGGCCGCCCAGGACAACCAGTGGCTGGACAAGAGGTTGGGGGACATTGATCTCGGAGACGGCGGTTTAACTGATCCAATCTCTCACATCACTTCCCTCACAGTGCGCGGTGCTTGTACCAGAGTCCCAGCAACATTCTGCGGCCGGACTGCTTTGGCTATCTGCTCAAATTGGGCTCAAGGTGGTGCGGATGGTCGAAACGCTATTGCGTTCTAAAGGATGCCTGCCTCTATTTTTACCAAGATGCAAATAGCAAGAGTGCATTCGGTGAGTCAATGCGAAAGCAAAGCAATCAGACTGACTGGCCAGCAACTAATGCCATTTCTCTATTTAGGCATGGCCTGCTTGCACGGCTACAAAGTGGCCTCGATGTCCGCAAATGCATCCGGCAAGAAGAACTCGTTCGAGATAGTGCCACCAGAAACGAAGTTGCGTCACTACTTTTTCTGCACCGAGAGCGAAATGGATAAGAAGCGGTACGTCACTCCACATCGAAAGTTCATTCAAAAAGTTAGTTACATATATTTGCACCATACATACCGCCAACAGCTGGATATCCGCACTGGAATACTCCATTGACCGCTGGATAAAGTCCGGGTAACTAAGGTTAAAGACACGCTCCAGATCGGCTCTGAGCAGCCGGCTCAAGCGTCGCAGTTTCAGCTACTTCATGGATTAGATGGGGACGACTTACTTGTTCGACACTAGTACGGGTACTACCAACAACACTTAGAACTTAAGCCAAGCAAACCAATTAGTTTTAGGCATAGGCGATTGCATAGTCCAAGGAATTTAGTCGGTCATTCAAATCGGGTTTAAAACTATTTTGAACAAAGCGTACATACACAAATATATACACATACAAGTATAGAGGAATACGATAGGACGTTTTTGGTGTGTATTCTTGTTATATAGCTTACAACAAATGGCATATATATACATATATATATATATACAAAACTTATGTTTAGTGAGGTTGTCTTGTCACTTATATACATAGCATATATTTAGCCACAAAACAAATGAGAGAAATGATCGTACAGCAGACCAAATTGTTTGTCTAATGTATATAGAATTCGGCTAGGCTAAATCCAAATTCAAATTGAAATTGAAATTGAAATGATTAGGTATTCAATGGCTCAAATCCAGGCAGAGGCAAGGCAAACGTTTTTTAGATAAATGTCTATTTACAGAAAGGGTAATAAAGTACGAAAATAGCTCAAGCGAGACCAAAATTCAGATTTATCAGAGTGTAACAGTTCGAAAAGTCGTTATCAAAGTCCGAGAAGGTTTTCCCATTTTCCATAGCTGCTTCCATCAAAATAAGCACAACATTTTGTGAAATATATGTAACAACGGTTTTCGTCCTTATTGGAAACGATTATTAGTTAGACGCGATTGCGATATAGGCCAGGATTAGTTAGCTTTTTGATATGTTCGATTTTTTTAGGAAACATATTCACAAGCACACACACAAACATCAACGTTCATAGTAGGTCAAACAATAATATAATAGCGATTAATTCGGAATCCAGTAGTTACTTTGTCATATAAAGATATGATCTTTAAAATGCTGATTTCCTGTTTTTTTGGGTCAGTGTTCAAATACCGAGATTGAGTGAGGATGCAACAATTTTGAAGCTTCTTTTCGTTTTATTAATACGGTAGCGAATATATATAAATATATATTTTATATATTTTAAATAGAGATTTCCAATTCGGCGAGGCGTAAAAAAACTAGATAATAAATGTATGCATTATATGATGATAAGAGTCAGCCATTTTATGTTGTTACTCATCGAGTGGAAAACGAGACAGCAAAAACACAAGAAAGGAAAAAGAAAACTAAATAAGAGCTTTAATTATTAAATAAAGAATATACCAAGAACAAATGACAAATGTGCCTCTTGCTGACAGCCCGGGGGCATTGAAATGCATCTAAACATCATTAATTTGGCTCAACGATCCGATTCTGAACCCCATTCCCATTCCCATTCCGAATCGGATTCGGATTCAGATTCGGTCCAGGCCCAGCCCAAAAGTATCAAACACAGCAGCTACCTGCTGGGGCCAACGAAGCATTTCGAATGCGATCAATGAACCTGTTGCTTTTGGCCCTCTAGCTACAAACTACCAGCTGAACCCGAGTTGGCCACATGTTTTACACAAATTTCAAGTAATTTATTTTGAAATCGTACAGCGATGCAAAATATGCAAGGAGGGAAGCCACTTCAAGCGACGGGCACTCGAAAAAATCAAGGTGATCTTACCACGATATCTATTTCTATTTTTTGGGCAAATGCAAGGTAAGGAAAATACAGTATCGTAATCATAATTTGATTATAGCTATAAGGATGTTAAAGCGTAACATCCAATTAGGCAAAGGTTAGTTACTTTTTGAATTTGATATTTATTTTTTATTGTACTTATGTGCTAAACCTTATTTTCTGAGTGCAGCCAGAGCAACAGTTGTTGATGGGGGAAGTCGACGACTAGCATAACAATTCGCTCGCCCTATGAGGCAGCTACCGTTTTTCCGTCTTCTTTCTTCTACCACTTATTTCTGGTCTTCTGGCTGCCGCTTTGTATCTCCATTTCCACTTACTGTTTTTGCAGTGGCAGCAGCCACAATTTAGTTCCACTGTGCAGCACCTTAATTACATGGCTCCGGCTCTCTTTTGTTGGGTACTTTTCGGGTTTTCCTTTTCGGCATCTCGGAATCATTGCGACCATGATCATCATCGTGGCCGAAACGTAACTCCCTCTACTTTTGGACCCGCGCTGATTTTTGGTCTTTTTGTTGCCGTCTTTTCTTTTACCTCTTGACCGCATTGATGCTGCATTGCGAGAAGATGTTGCCAGATTGTTAGGATAGCAGTTCCAAGGGTTATTGGGGACCTATGAAAGTATCTAAAGTTCATAATTTAAGAATATTTAATTTTGGTTGCGAATTCCGTTGCTTGCCTTCTTTTATAAGGACTAATCACCAGCAATAAAAGTCAGTCTGGCGATAGCATGGTTTCTAGACTTATATTGCTTTACGATCCATTTCCATAAATGAATTTTATAACTTGGCTGCCGTTCAATGCAGTTCATTTCACCCCAACTTTCCACATAATCACCCTTCTTCGAAGAAACCCTATCACCTTGCCACCCCAAAAATGATTTCTGATTAGTCATTCCCCTAAATGCAACCGCAACAAAGGCCCAAGAACAAAATACACCCCCACTAAAAAGGAATAACAATAAACAGGGGACT